CCAAATGGGTAGAGGATGCAAAAAAGCAAAAAAGAAAGCCACGCCCATACAGTTGCATGGCCACGCCCACCAAGCCACACCCACAGAACCAGTAGTAAAAAAAAATGGAATCCCACCACTGTTTTGAACAGTCACTGGGCAAACTGTTATCTGTCAAGGACTACCTGTGTAGAGAGAGAACAGACTATGATTGTGTTGTTTTAAGCATGGCTTTTCAAATATTTACCGATATTTCTTCATAAGCGAAGAGGCAATATTCCACACAGCCTCAAAGATCTAAAGAGCCTTAACATTTTCACAGAACGATCATATACAGTTCTCTGAGCTTGGAAATTCCCTTCTTGGGATTCCCTGACAAAGATCAACAACTTAGTTTCAGCTGAGTTATACAGACAATTTTCATTCTTCCTTTTTCGGCAATGTTGGTGGGTAAAACGTATGAACTCTAAAATCACTCCCTCGCTGCAGAGATGATTAAACTGATTGCATTGGGATAACCAAAATAGGCAGATGAAGAATCATTAGACTATTAGGAGATTTATTGCTTTGCATCACTCAAAGGGCTTCATATTATCCTCCTGGATAATGATGAAATCTTATCAGTGTACTCTAGCTTAGCCATCATCTGTTGATTGAGCCATTGGCAGAAAGAAGCGTGTAAGCTTAAGATAACAGGGTTTAATGTTAGGCTATTTTCTCTTTCTCTCTCTTTTCACAGCTTCTTGGCAAGTTTATTCTGCATCTAATAGAATATGTGAAATGCACTAGCTGTTTGCGGTACATGCATCTGGTAATTATAACCATTTATGATCAGTGATGCCCCTACTGCTAAATAATATTTTAGCAACAATAGTCAACATCTGGCAGCATTTATTTGTCTATCAAGAATGTGTCTTTGGACCAAATCACCAAGGAAGTACGCTATAAATCAAGGAAAACATTAAACTTAAAACACTAAAAGTCATTTAAAAGGCTGGATTGAAGAGGTATGACAAGTCTTATTCCCAATGTGGGAAGGAAACCATTTGTGCTTATACAGTGAAAGTATTAATAGATGGGAAATTATCTCACTCAGTACAAATAAATCTTGCATTCACCCATTTCTAAAGAGGATTCCACTTTCTCCCCCAAGTGCATTTTTCTGGTTCCAAGCAATATTGAGTATATAAATTTATGTAAAATAACAACCCTATAAATATGTACATGCATGAGCTTTGTACATATTTATTTTTAATCAATGTTTTACAAGCCCATGAAAGATGCATAACCAGAGCAAAAAAAAATTATAAAGTCATTCAAGTAAAAGTGATCAATAATGAAAGCAAAAAATGTGCAATTAAACATGAAGAGGAATGAAAATAGTACTATTAGGGCTCCTGGAGAGAGATAAAAATAATAAAATGTGCTGACTGAAAGCAAATTCTTAAGAAACACTATCAAATACTCCACCAAGAGAAAAGAGAAACACTTGACTTTATTTCATACCCAAAAGGAAATGCAATGGCTGCAAAATAAGGAAAGTTTTCCTTTTTGTAAGAAATTTTTTTAAAAAATAGGGGCGAGAGGTTTCCCTAGATGCTGAGAGCTATAAATTACTTTTAGCAAGATGAAAAACTGCTTACTTAGTGAATTACCCTTAACATACAAATTAAGAGGAGATATAGTGCTAAAAAAATAAAAACATCCTGGAACAACTCAAAGAGCTTAACACGATAATATCTAAGCAAGAGATTAGAATGAGACACAAATTGAATTAGTGCAATCCTGGCACAGAAAATGCTACAGAGGGGGTGTCCTACCTTGGCCTCTCTGAGACTTGTGGACTTCAACTCCCAGAAGTGAGAGATGGGGAATTCTGGGAGTTGAAGTCCACAAGTCTTAGAGAGGCCAAGGTTGGACACCCCTTGCTAAAGCATCCAATAGCAACTGAGCAGTGATGATATCACCAAGAGGTGAACGGGTAAAAGGTATTTAGAGGAAGAGACATTCATCTACAGATAACAGATAATCAGAGTTGGAAGGGACCTTGTAGGTCATCTACTCCACCCAAGTGGGAGACCCTACACCATTTCTGACAAATGGCAGTCCAATTTCTTCTTGGAAGTCTCAAGTGATGGTGCTCCCACAACTTCCGAAGGCAATTTCTATTCCATTGGTTGGTTGTTCTCACTATCAGAAAGTTTCTCCTTATTTCCAGGTTGAATCTCTCCTTGTTCAGTTTCCATCCATTCTTCCTCGTCTGACCTTGGAAAATAGCCTGACCCCTCCTCTCTGTGGCAGCCCCTCAGATATTGGAAGACTATTCTCCGGTCTCCCCTGGTCCTTCTCTTCCCTAGACTAGCCAGGCCCAGTTCCTGTAACCGTTCTTCATATGTTTTAGTCTCCAGTCCCCTCATCATCCTGGTTGCTCTTCTCTGCACTTTTTCTATCCTACGAGAACCAGGAAACATCAATACCTTTTAGATCTGGTATTGGGAAGGTTCATTTGAGCCTCATTTTGAAAGCACTACTTCAGCCCACACCAACACAGCCCTCCAAGCACAGCAGGCTGTCCTCAAAGGGTCCAAGGATTTAAGCAACCAATTTAGATAAACGAATGAAGGCAAATATACGTGTCCCGGGATAATGATGCAAAATCAAATTTGGGTCGGTCATCGGGACCAGAGGTATACTCTTCCGAGCTTTCGGACTCATTCTGGGTGAAGCCCACCTTTAGGGAATTTCTCTCTACTGGAATATGTGCCCCAGCCAACCATGTCTTAGACAGGTGGCAACATAATTAAAAATACTATTTAAGCTGCAACTCTGTAAACACCGTTTGCTTTAAAAATTTCAAGCTACCATGCCTGGAGAGAATTGGCAAATTAAACGTGTTTCTTGCTATTAGAAAATTTACATGTTTACACTTTTTGATAGGGTTCCCTTCCAACCTTTCTGTTTCTGTGGAAATAGAAATTGCTAGCAACGGTGCCCCGATTTCCACCGCCTTTCAGTCTTTTGATGTGAAAAGGCTAGCAAACCCTGCTTCATACCTTGCCAGAAATATTTCTCCTGTTCAGAAGGGATAGAAATGGCAATGCATGATTCAACTTTCATTAAGCAATCGGGTGCAAAAAAAAACCATTTGCATTAAAGAAGGAAAAACACAATAGTTTATTATTATTGTTGTTGTTGTTGTTGTTGTTGTTGTTGTTGTTGTTGTTGTTGTTGTTATTATTATTATTATTATTATTATTATTATTATTATTATTTTGCTCTAGTGTCGTTGGTATGCTTTGTAGAGAAGCAAAAAGTGAGAAATCCTGCCAGGAGGTTTTTACATGGCTTAGCTGGGACGGATTAAGAGAGCTATCATTGGTGAACCGCCTATGGCTGAGATCCCAGACACGCTTGGAATTCAACAGAAAATATTTCCAAGATGATAGACTGGATTTCAGGGGAAATTGCTTTCGGTTTAGAGCACGGATGTCCACCCTTGGCCACGTGAAGACCTATGGACTTCAGCTCCCAGAATTCCCCAGCCAGACAACATGGGAAATTCTGGGAGTTGAAGTCCATAAGTCTTCATGTGGCCAAGGTTGGACACCTCTGGTCTAGAGAATTTGCAGAAATCCTGCTCTGGAACCATAAAACCCCAAGTTATAGAACAGTTATCATTTGCTAAACCTTGAGAGCTTTGGATTGTGGACAATCCACATTGTACATAAACTCTATATCACTAACTAAGAATTCAACCAAAACTCCATAACGTAAATGTCTAAGGAGGTTCTCAGTTATCCAGGTCCTAGTTGTCCCAAAGGTGTTTTTTCAAGAGGCAACTGGACTTTCTGGTTTTTCTTCGAAGACGTTTCACTTCTCATCCAAGAAGCTTCTTCAGCTCCTATTCTGTTGATCCTCCTTGCTGCTTGATAGCTTCATGAAGTTGTTGGAACCGTTGACGGGACACCCTGAGATTAACCTGTGCAGTGATGTGACACGGATGGCATCTGTTTCAGTAAATATGAGCTAATTGTGCAGTCATTGTTCTGTCTTCAGTTCGGAAATACTTTGAGGACTAGAGACTTATTTGAGCTGAAGAAGTTTCTTGGATGAGAAGTGAAATGTCTTCCAGGCAAAACCAGAATGTCCAGTTGCCTCTTGAAAAAAGCACCTTTGGAACTCCATAATTGGCGTGGAAATCACCTTTGTGTATGAGGTGCTTGTCCATAGCGGGACAAGCAAAGGTGTCAGGTTAAAAAAAATAAAAACTTGCTCCTGGATGTTGGTAGGACATCCATCCTTGCTGTTGAGGATCAATTTTTCATTAGTGGTCCGAGATACTTTGCAACCTTCCTTGAATTCCTGGTGGTAGCTCTATAAATCATTCTGATATTTTTGCCTTTGGCAGTCACCAAAGCAAAACCCTGAGGTCCCCACTAATTGCTTACTAAATTACGTAAGGGAGCCCGTTGAAAGAAAGGCCAGAGTTTGAGTTAAAACCAGATTGGCACTTTGGACGGGTGCGTGATGAGAACACCTAGCGACAATGCGTAGGTAATCAGAGCGCAGCTGCTGCCTGGGAAGGCTTGAACTGCTAATTAGACTAAAGAAAATAAAACTGTCACTGCAGGGTAAAAGGAGCTAAAAGAAAACAAACACTAATTGCCATTTCATTGTTAAATAAAGTACTGTAAAGTAGAATGGAAGGTGGGTGCAGGAGGGTAAATAACTATCTGTGGATCTGCTTAGGATTTGTTTTAAATAAGCAAAGCCAAACTAATGATCTCTAGTGAGGAACAGATCAATATCGCAAAGGCAGATGTTGCTATTGTCTTGAAATAGTTAAATAGACATCTGATAGACTTACTTAAAACAGGCATTTATCTCGTTCCTTCGAAGCATTAGCTTGCATGGTTATCAATAGCCCATAACCTTGCTCTTAAAATACAAGTTGCATTATGGAATGAAATGTGCGGTTGGTCACATCTTAATAATCCAACCATAATTGGATTGTTACTTACATTCTGCTGCCCGGTATAATCTTGTGCCCATCTCTGAACCATGTCACTTGTGGTTTGGGGTAACTGGGGATGTGGGGCACGTTTAGAACAGCAGCTTGTCCTTCAGGTACGGCTTTCCACTGGTTCTCGTCCTGGAAACTTCCCATGTCTGCAAAGAAAAGTTTGGAACTAAGGACTCCAGAAATTTCTTCTCCCATGCCGTGGCATCTCACACCATGCCATTATTTTCAGGGTCATCATGAATATTGTAGTCATTAAGCTTTATAAGAGTGGGTGGCATTGCTATCATTAAGCAACAAATCGTAGCAGACTTTGTGTTACCGCTGAGGAGTGTGGCTTTGTGGGTGTGTGCTGAGGCATGAGACAAAGCCCAGTGACTCTACGACACCTAAAGAAATCTGTCTGCACCCCTGCTTGTTTGCATTTCACAGGATGGGCAACTGATTGACACAGATTCACAGAAGGCAAACGCCTGTCATGTAACGTTACAACGCAGACAAATATTCTGAAAGGCACAGGAAAATCGAATGGCTCCAGATGACAACTTTACAAAGGTCCTTCTGCTTGGAACCTGGACTGGGGCGAGAATTTTCGTTACCCAAAAAACGAGCTGAGTTCAAACCAAGCTCAATTCTGAAGAAAAAAGAAGCAGCCCCCCCACAAAAAAAGCTATACAAAATAAAGGGAGCAGCCTAACGTGGATTTAAAAATACCAAAGCAGACATAAAGGGTTGTGGTTAATAGGAGATCTTCTGAATGGGATCTTTAAGTGCAAAAATAGATCTGGGTGAGCGAAATATCTGGGATGCATTTAGAGAGGCGGCTCATTCACTAGAAGGAGGAAGAATTCGGGGTGGGTGTGAGTGGGAAGACCAGTTAAATACAGACACAGTTAAATAAGCCACACAAACCTTTGATACTATGCCAGGAGCACTCAGAGAATAAACTGTGCCCTGAACAATTGGCAGAAGAGCTTTTCTCAATACTGTGTGTCATACCGTCCCTGCTGTGAACTCACATTTCATAAGTCCCCTGCAGGGGGGGCCAACTTCTGCAAATTTCCAGAATATTTCCCAAAGCAAACAGATGTAGGACAACGGATCAAAGAACAGGAGATTTTTTTTTTTTTCAATTTGGAATAACTGGACAAGAGAGTTTTGGGCTACGGATAACTAATTGCCTTGCAACAGATGGGCCTGGAATTGAACAGGCACCCCCACTGAAGAAGGGTTTTCCCTTCATAATTAAGATTTGGGGTATGGATTGTGTCTCCCATTCCATGCTGGGAGAGAGGAGAAACGCATAGATGTTAGTTAGGCCTGTTTTATTCTGAAGAAATTTACTTGTGTGGAAATGTTGCGTCCAAAGTTAAAGGAGATTTCAGGGCCACGATTGAAGAGCTGTATGAAGGAAAGGAAAGTGATGGACTCTTTAAAATAAATAAATAAAAAATACCGCCCAGTATTCCAATTTCAACATGATTCATTTCAACTGGGGTTTTATTGGCACTATGATTTTTCTTCTGGATCTAAAATCGCCCGTATTTTTTTGTTTTCTATTGTAATAAGATTACCTACTTAAACAGAAGTATTGAACCGTGCAAGTACTTCTAATTAACCTTGTTGTTGCATGATCAGTTTAGCCTTCAGAATTCAGACACTTTCTAATTAAGAATTGCCAACCAAGTCCTGTGGACCTCTTTTGCGTTAATTTGCAACTCAGCTAATTATTTTTTCAAGCGTAAGAATTTTGCCTTACAAGGAAAGTTATCCAAGGCTTAAAGTTTCCAGTGCCTTCCTAGTTTTATTATGATTTTAAAGAACCGTTCCTTATGTATTATTTATCATGATATATAAGCTTTACATAACACTTGATTGTAAAACAATTACTTTGTGGTGGTATCATCTAATTTAAGAAATTGTCTCTTAATTTTTTGTTTATGAAACATAAAATCCCTGCTATAAAAGAGGAATTCCAATTAATATCATACTATGCTGAGTGTAGCATTGCCACTAAACTACATCAGCTGGGTTCTTGCCCTCCCAAATGTATGCCAGAGAATAATTAAACTAGCACTGAATCAAGGGGAAAGCGGCAGAGGCAGAAGGATTGAGTCTCTTCAACCATTGCAAGAGCAACAATGAAACCACACTGAACCTCTTACAATGGTTGCAACTTTAAGGCTGCTAATTTCCTCAATAAATAGGTTGAACTATGGAATCCCTTGTACTCTCTGAGGTTGGTTGCTGCGTTCCAGATGTTTCACTACCCACCTAGGGAGCCTCATCAGTGCTAAAATCAGTGCAAACCCCACCCCCATCTAGCACTGATGATGTTACCTAGTTGGGTAATGAAACATCTGCAACGCAACAACCAAGTTCAGAAAGCATCCAGATTGCTGTTCCTGGCTTAGCACTGGCTAACAATCCTCAAATGTTTTTGGTTTTTTCCAGGATTTTCTCCATCCCAAATACCTCACAATAAAGTTATTAATGTTATAGCATTATGAACACAAGTGAAGCCACCTGTTAATAAACTGGCATATTCATTACTTACATAAGGGTTATTCTTAACATGCATTTGATGCCATAATTCAACAATTATCACTGACTTTATAATTAGCAAGTCTCCTGTTGTTGTTCTTGTTGTTTTTACAATTTTCAACAGAGCATATGAAAATGTTTAGATCTTGGTGGAGATCCATCCTGAAGATTAAAAGAAGGAGAATTTCCTTTTATCTGATTACGAAGAAACCTATTCCTTGCGGCTAATGCTGCAAACCAGCATTTGACTGAGATGAAAGGTGAAAGAAACCAGGTTTCAGAAGAACGGAAGGAAGGCCTACATAATAATTTGGACTATATTATCCAAGACCTTTTAAGAGAGCCGAGACCTTCTCGAGCCACATTTTGGCACCCACACCTACCTGAATAATTTAAAAACAAACACGTCACATTCCCACCAGCTTTATAAAGCCGCCTCTGTCACCGTTTTTGCAAAACAAACATTAAATAGCAGTTAGCCGGAAGAGTTAATGGCCGCTTGGCTAATTTGCACAGCATTGCGCTATCCTTCTTGATATCAAACAGGAGGAAAAATAAATTCAGCACATTTTCCCTCATGATACCTCTCTTCTCTGTTTAATCACTTCCTTGTAAATGGCCATGTCTAATAAAGAATTCTGTTCACCCACTTCATCTTCCTGCCATTTATCAAATGACAGCCACCGTTGCTGACCTTCCCGTTAAGTGCTCCGAGGAACAATAATTAAAGTCTCAGGCAAAGACGTGTCATGTATAAACAAATAGTGAAACTTCATCCCGTTTGGGGAGATTTCAATTTGGCCTCTCCATTAATAGCTGGTGATATGGAAGAGCTTACTTGGAGCTTCCAGGAATCAAAGGTGATGAGTGAAACAGATGAGAAGGTGGACAAGACACATTTGGAACTTGCGTTGTCACATTTTCCCAACGTGGAAAAATACCCTTCTTAAATACGTATTGCAATCCACAAAAGGAACAGGAAAGATGCGCTCCAAATTTTTTAGTGTCAAGAAGATTCACAATGTGACTGTCTGTGGGGTTTTTTTTTTTTTTTAGTCTACTCTCCTTTAAAAGTGAACATGAAACATTTGCACGCTGCATTAAGCAATTCAGGAAAGAGAGATTTAACTGTTATAATTAATGGTTGTTCATCAACTCTCCTGTAATAGGGTGACATAAGCTTGGGGGAATTGGTTGAAATGAGGAAGGCAGTAAAATCGGATAAATACAACCAGAAAAATATAACCAATCTCCAATACAAGGTAAGGCTCTCTCTAACATACCTACCTACTCATTTTAAAAAGAAGATAAGGTAGAACTTATTTCTAAAGGCAGTCCCTAGTCTAAGGTTTAAAAAGCCCAGAGACGTGTATTTGAGAAAATCAACACACACATATATCTGAGTGAATACCAAATACTTATTAAAGGTCAAAATTGATAGCTTCTACAACCCGAAGTTTGGTCATGCCAGTTCTCTAGACTTAAGAATTTGGCCTGGTAGGCTGTTCAAAGAATAAAACATTTTCAGAGATGTTGTGTGACAAACGTAAAGCTCACCTCTCATTTTTAAGCCTACTCTATGCCAGGAGTGTCAAACTCAAGGTGAGTGCTTAGATCTGGCCCACAGGAAACATCTGCCCTGGAAATAGCAAAGGACCAGCCCAGAGTGCCCCTGCATTGCAGCAGAAAACGCAATTCGCGAGAGCTGCAGAAGGCACTGCCAAGCTCTGTTTTCGCTGGCAGAGGGTTGCAGGAGCTTGTTGCAGCTGAAATGGAGCTTGGGAGCCCATTTTCGCTGCCAGAGTGCTCATGCCACCACAGGCGCCCCCGACACGAGTGATGTCGAGCTGGCCATGACCCCCACAACTTCTTCCACGAACCCCAAACACTTTAACCTCAGACTATCCACTGTTGACCTCACTCCCTTCCTAAGAGGTCTGTAAGGGGCGTGCATAAGTGCCCCAACGTGCCTACCATTACTGTCATAATATTCCCTTTTATTTGTATCTATTTCATGTATTAATAATCATGTTATTTATATATATATATATATTATCAAATGCATGCCTCACAAAATAAATAAATACATAAAAACCCTGATGCGGCCCTCAATGAAATCGAGTTTGACACCCTGCTCTGTGCCTGACAGCGTGCTCACCTCTTCATTCTACGGGAGCTTCGTTGGCAAACTGGAGGTGGAACAACTGTCTGCACTATTTATTGTACAACTTTGGCCAGGTAAAACTATTCTTTCTGTGATTAAAAAATATAGATGTGCTACAGAGTCTGGAGCGTGCCTAGCCTTCATCTTGGCAAAGACCACGAAATGGGCAGAAGCCAAACAGGCAAATGAAGGCGATAGTTTTGCATCCTGCCTAACTGGGCTGTAATTTAGAAAACGTGGAAGAAATGCCATTCAGACGTACATGCCACCTGAACCTCTGATTTCCTCTGCAGGAGAGCCCCCATTCTGTTCCGCACAACGCACTGATAAAAGCCACCATCTGATTTTTTCAAGGAAGGAATGACGTACCTGTAAAACAAAGGAGAGAAACCTTAATTAAAAGATACTCTTGGTTTTAAGATTGTTTTCTCGGAAACTGTTTCAAGCTAATGGGGAAGAAGAGCTCAGCTCATCAAATCTTCCCACCGTCCTAATGCAGAGAGCTTCACATCTCATCGATCGCCTTTCTTCTTTTTTCTGCTATCCTGTAGTTTATTTGGTTGCGTGCAAAAGAGAAGAAGACTAAAACGGATCCCAGGACAGGTAGTCCTCGACTTACTATTGCAATTGGGCCCGGAATTTCTTGCTGCTAAGCAAGACGGTGGTTAAGTGAGACCCTCTCCAATTTTATGTCCCTGTGTTAGCTCACTGCAGTCATTAAGTGCATCGCCCAATCATTAAGCAAATCTGGCTTCCCCTATTGACTTTGCTCATTGAAAGCTAGATGGAAATTGTGATCAGAGGACCCTGTGATTCCCCCCCCTTCTTTCTCCCTCTGCCTCTCTCTCTGTCTCTCTCTCTCTCCCCTCCAGCTCACGCTCTCTCTCTCTCCCTCTCTCTCTTTCTCCGTCTCTCTTTCTCCCTCTCTCCCTCTCTCTCTCACACACTCTCTTTCCCCCCCTCTCCCTCTCTATTTCTCACTCTCACTCATTCTCTCTTTCTCCCTCTCTGTCTCTCTCCCTCTCTGTCTCTCACTCTCTTTCTCCCTCTCTCTCCCTCTCTTTTTCTCTCCCTCCCTCCCTCTCTCTTTCTCTCCCTCCCTCTCTCTCTTTCTCCCTCACTCTCTCACACTCACAGAAACACTACACGGATAGTCCTTCACTTACAGACGCAACTGAGCCCCAAATTTATGATGCTAAGTGAGACATGTGTGAAGTGAGGTTTGCCCCATTTTAGGACCTTTCTTACCACAGTCGTTAAGTGAATCCCTGCAGTTAATAATTTAATGACACGGGTGTTAAGCGAATCTGGCTTCCCCACCGAGTTTGCTTGTGAGGTCGCCAAAGGGAATCACATGACCTTGGGACCCAGCAACAGTCATAAGTACCAGCCAGTTGCCAAGTGTCTGAATTTTGATCAGGTGACCGCAGGGATGCGACAACGGTCATAGGTGTGAAAAACGGTCCTAAGTCATTTCTTTCAGTGCCGCTGCAACTTTAAATGGTCGCTGAACTGTTGTAAGTCGAGGACTGCCTGTAATCCACAGCCACAGGCCTATTTGTCTGTCACCAATTCCCCTCGAGATGCTACAGAGGATAACATTTGGGGTTATGGTTGGAAAAGCAAGCCTAAATTCCACACGCAGCCATGAAGCTGACTGGCTGAGGTTAGGAGAGACCTTGTCTCTCAGGTTCATCGTAACCTGTTGATAAAAGATAACACGGGGGAAATCACATGTGCTACATTGATTTCTTTGGGGGGAAAGGCATGATAAAAGCAAGAAACAAAATACCAATTTTCTTGCAACATTATTGTCTACCCTGAATGTAAATCTTGTTTTGGAAATGCCAAGATAAGATATATCGCTTTTCATCTTTCCAGCACAGCTTACATATTAATAAATTGTTCTACATTACACAAAACTACACATGAATCATGCAGAGGTTGGATAGTGTGGATTATCAAACACATCATATATTGATGACAGATCATGATTAATAATGTGAGCAGCAAAGCATAACTGCGTAAAAATCTTAGTTATTCTCTTTTTCAGCCTCAACCCTCAAGCTTGCTATATAAATTATGGAAGTATTTATTAACAATGAATAATTTACTTTGTATTAACTAAAATGCATTATAAACTTAAGCTGGAGGATCATTTTTATTACTTTTTGGGCTGGAGTGCAAATCTTCTTCTACTCTAATCAATTATTACTTTGTCGCTGATTGTAACTGGCAGGGATTATAAGTAGCATTTGAACCATATTGTAGTTACTTGGCAAAAACAGAAAAAGATACGACAGTGAGGTATTTTGTTTTGCTGCTTGCCAACAAGACAACATCAGAGCCAAATTTAGCCAAACTGTCTAATGCCAAAGGCAAACAGTCTGTAATAATTTCATCCCAATGAATAAATGCAATTCCCCGAATGTAAAAACCCAAACAAGCCAACCATATCTTGGATTGTTGCATACAATTAACAAATCAATAATAGAACTTTAATATTCATAGTAGCATATTTATTCCAATAAATATTGTAAACTTAGATTAGTTTTCCGTGAACACTTTCTTTGACAAAATAAATGTTCCAAGGATAGGAAACAAATTAATCAAGGACTAAAGGGGAAAAAAACCCTTTGTGTTTCATTGGGAACAAACGAACGTATATATTATATGTTAGCAAAATGTAAATACCTTAATTATTCCTTAAAAAGGGGAGTTTTTCAGCTAATCCCTGTAGCTACAACATTTCACAGTACCAAGTACAGCTTGCTTTAGAATTATAAATGCTATACTATTTCATATTAATTGTAGGTATTATTAAAAATGAGCAAGAACCTGTTATGCATATACAATGACTAATCTGGCTAAGGCCAAAAATTGTTTACTCAAATGAAAAACAGCCCTGATTTCTCATTAAACCTTTGGTAATTCCAGTTTTCCTGAGACCTGTTTCTATACCTATCCCTCTTTTCCACTGTACATATGAATGTGTGATTTCTTTTTTTTTCTATTACTGGCAGACCACAGCAAAGCTTATCCCATTGATCAAACGAACAGCTGTGTTGACTCGTGTCTGCTTTCTTCCATGATTAATCAAAATACACTGACCTTAAATAGCTTTTAAATTTTGATTCCACACACAGAAAACATTCAGCCACTTAAAAAACAATGAGGGCAAAATGAGAGAAGCAGAAATAATGAGGATTATTTGATTGAGTAGACCAGGGGCATCCAACCTTGGCAACTTTAAGGCTTGTGGATTTCAACTCCCAGAATTCCCCAGCCAGGGTGTGCTGGCTGAGGAATTTTAGGAAGTGAAGTCCACAGGTCTTAAAGTTGCCTAGATTGGACACTTCTGGTATAGATTGTTGCTTAGATTCCAGCATTTCTTTGTGATAACACCAGAAGGTACGAGGCGCTTGTGTGATGGATTTGATCCACCTCATGCATATGTTGAGACATACAAAGGACCAGTCACTCCTTCTCTTAGCAAAGGAATACCTAAAATGCTGACATATGAACAGCTCATTCATCTTTTCACAGCTTGCTCATAAGAGCAGAAAGCTGAAATGCTTTTGGGACAGACTTGGGTAACCTTCTAAGTGTATATCATAGAATCAGTGAGTAACAGAAGAGGGATGAATGAAGAGATATAGTTGGATCGGGTCGATATGATGGAGACGTACTGAGAAACACTGCAGACACCCAAAGTTTTCAAGAAAATTCTGGACAACTGTTTGTTAAGAAGGGAATGGGACCGTGGTGGGATTCAAAAAAATTTACCACTGGTTCTGTGGGTGTAGCTTGGTGGATGTGGCATGGCTTGGTGGGCTTGGCTTGGTGGGCATGGCTTGGTGAGCGTGGCTTGGTGGGCGTGGCAGGGGAAGGTTACTGCAAAATCCCATTCCTTCCCCACCCCACTAACCTGCTTTCCAGCTCCATTCTCCTGTGCAGGGCAACCAAAGGAGACCCAGCCGATCAGCTGGGACTCGGAAGGCAGAGAAGAGATGGGATTGGTGGGGCCAGTCAGAGGCGGCATTTGCCGGTTCTGTGAACTACTCAAAATTTCCACTGCCGGTTTTCCAGAGCTGGTCAGATCCTGCTGAATACCACCTCTAGAATGGGATCTCCGGCTTCAGCAGGCAGTTGGACTAGAAAATGTCCAACGTCTCTTCCAAACTGTGGAAGAGACCTTCCACTGAGAACATATTCTACATTCTAGACGTCATTAAGATTCCACATTCTCAAATGACTTACTTATATTCCCTGGAGAACTCTGTGATTTCCATATCGTTATGCAGCCACTTAAATTCCAAAGGCCAGCTTCCTTCTGCCAAGCAGGTGAGAACAAGGCGGTTTCCTTCCAGATGCGTCTGAGGCAAACTGGGTTCTGTCTTGAAATAGGGAGCTACGTCATCTGCAAGATAACACATCACTTTGAGATATTTTGAACGCCTTATGTGCAAAATGGTATCTTACCAGTTTACATCACTGGATAAATCAAGATTAAAAAAACACCCTAGGGCTGGATTCTGCATTCAGATCCACTCCATAAAATATTTTCATTAATCGCCATCAAAGTGCCTGTGGAGATTCTCAGTCCCCAAAGGAGCTTTTTCAAGAGGCAACTGGACTTCCTGGTTTTCCTTTGAAGAGGTTTCACTTCTTAACCAAGAAGCTTCTTTGGTCTTCAGAGCTGAAGAAGCTTATTGAATGAAAAGTGAAACATTTTCAAAGAAAAGCCAGAAAGTCCAGTTGCCTCTTGAAAAAGCTCCTTTGGGACAGCCATCAGAGTGATAAGACTGATGTATGAAAGTATGACAGTCCGAAAATGTTCTTATTCCCCTAATGCCCTGGAGGTCAGGTATTCTCCAAGAGGCATTGGAAGTAACCTGGAATAAAAAATACTATAGATAACATAGCATGTTTTATTATAACACTTTATCTTTCGTTACACTGTATACAGCACACTCAGCTGTGTGGTTTCTTTAGTTTTGGCTAAGAGTGGGGTGTGGATTCATTCCCCTGTGGTTTATAAGCCATCAGGTATGGATTAGAAGTTATGGAAACCCAGCATACGACATAGCAATTTAAAATAAGCCACAAGCTCATTTAGCATGACGCATGAACCGATGTTCACCCAGCACCATAGACTGCAGGAGAAGGCTTGGTTTTCAGGACCATGGATAGCAACCTGAGAGCTAAAATATAGGTGAATGGCTGCCCCACTTCCCCTGAATCCAAATCTCTTAAGGTCAACTTCAGAAAGCAGCCAGGACCCCCAAAGTGAAGTCTTCCCTCACTTGAAAACACCGGGGCAAAAGCCTCGTGGGAGGAATCAACAAATGTTTCTTCTGTGCCTGCATAGCATGTGTCCATAAAGCCCACTGTTGAGATACGATGACCCAAAGAAAATGGCTCAATCCTGCCTCGAATCTTGACTGAAGTGTAGACTATCAGAGAAAATGAAGACTGTTTTGTTCTGGTCCCTGGAAACATAGCGATGCCACACTGCACACAACTACCACGCACCACAAGGACTCGAACGGAAGAATATGCAGAATTCAATTCAATCAACTACATTACACTGAAGACGAGAACCCAGTTTCTCAGCTGCCTCTGCCAATCATTGGTCACCCTCAAGAAGGCAAGACAGGAACACGTCAATGCTTGCTTCTCTTTGAAGAGACAGCAAAAAACAAGTTGCCCTTTAGAAGAACAATTCCTGCGAGCAATGTAGAAATGTATGTGTGAGATGGAGCAGCCGAAATGTAAAAGTGCTTTCTTTGAAATAAAGCTTAGCAGACAGCAATAAATGGGGGTGGGTACTTTCTGTAACAGATTCGAGTTCCGCTGAGGCCTGTGGCAAAAATTGCATTGATATCAGAGAATCTCAGTACCATTTTAAAAAACAACAACTGCCAAGGTATTTTTTACCAAACGCACAAAATATGTTTCCAAACTGTGGAGAAAAAGTCAGAAGACTTCTGTATAATTACGAACGCATGTTTCAGACCATAAGCGAGCAGGAAAAGCTTTCCTTCAGGGTTTTCATCTATCAATTAAAATTTCCCACCATGTGACAAAGGCAGCTGTGGATTAAAATTTACTAATCCACTTTCTTTTCCTTAGGAACTATTGAGCTGAGCCATCCAGTGAAGCCATGTCTAAAAACCAGTTACCCTAATTAGCTCTTTGTACCCATTTTCATTTGTTTACAATTGACATGCAAATTAACAGGGAAATAATGCTACACTGGGGAACTTCCTTGCTGCTGCTTCTGTCTGACATAACCATGTCTCCAAATTCTTTCCTGGGCCCTACCCAATAATTTGTGTCTGCTTAAAAAGTGGCAGCTAATAGTTATGAACCCTGGCCTCTGTACAACCAATGAATAATAAAATAGATGCAAAATAATTGTCTGCAGATTAAAAACATCATTCTTACATTCAGTATGTCTGCAAATTAATTAGCTACAAGTGAAGATGCCAGGGTCCCCAGGACTTGACTTGAGAATGTGATGTTGGGCATTCGAAGCTGGATGTTTGTTTTATTGTGATTATTATTAACGTTGTGTTGCTCAGACCTCTGAGTCTTAAGAAAGAAATTGCTTTTTGCACAACACCAGCTTGTTTGTTTGACAAGCAGTGTGGGGTCTCAGCTAGACAAACCTACTGCATATGTTAAGAACTGAAAAAGCAAATTCAGGCATCAGTTTTCCCTCTTTCCAAACTCAATGAAACTGAAGCAAGCAAGATCTTAAAAGTCCTACATTCAAGATGATCCATGATCTTGATCGTTCACTGTTGGACAACTTCTCCACCGGAACACATCATAGCAATAATCTAAACCCAGAAACTGTATTTCTTATCGTGCCTGGGAATTCAACAGCTGTAGGTTGTGCATAAATGCTTATGAGTAACATTAAAGATCTATTCAGGCAGGATTATAAGAAAATCATCAAACTCAAGTATTTTTAGAACTAAAAATTAGCAGATCAGAACATTCTGAAAAACATGATTTATAAAACAGCATGATTTTAAAAACAGGCCAATGTTCTGCAAGATTTATTTGAGCCCATTAAAAAAAGACATTTGTTCAACTTTTTGTTTACATATTATGCAAATATCTTTCATTGAGCTAAATAAGCAGTGCAGAGTAAGTAACATTCGTTTGAAACAAAATTAAAATATAATCCTGGACAAAGTCTGGTTGTAACTAAGGATTCCGATGCAAATTTGCATTATTCTTCCCACATTTTTTAAGACTTGATTTTAGATTTGATGTTTAGATTTGATCATGTATTGTAGGTGCCTTTTATCCAAACAATGTTCCCATATATTTACACCTACAGCCAAAATGGACACATTAGCTACCAGAAGAGCTTCTTACAGTACATTGTTTTTATTTTATTTTTCCCAAATGGGAAATACAAGCGATGAAATGTTATACTATTGCACATCAGGGGACACACTAATTATGATCTCGCAGTGGCTTCGGAAGCACAACAATTCCACAAATCCATCCTTTGATGTAGTCAAAACTCTCCATGAGTTTTGTGCAATTCTTGCTCTACTGTTTCCATTTTGTGCCAGCTTGAGACAGCTTGAGGTCATATGATCATGTCCTATGCAAAAATATAATAAATATTTTCCAAATCATCCAGGAAACTAAAACTTAATTCCATAACACAGTTTCCTTCAGGAAACCTCTAACCATTTTTTTTTCCTGGTCTGGATACAACAAAGAGTTATAAAGCCCAAAAGGTTCTGGACTTATTTGTACTCATGCTAAGCAATTGTATTATGCTACTAGGGGCTTTCATAAGTATCTCAGTTTATGAAGCTGATATTCAGTGGCTCATGCCAAGTTCTTATCTCTCTGTTTGCTACATCACAAAGAGAAAGCTCACCTTTGGTTGAATAGTGCAGAATCACAACAAACTCGTTCTTTGAACCCTCATCCCAAATCTGTGGAAATCTCTAGAATGAGCTTCATTCTTTAGCTAAAGTCTTTTAAATTTCAGGGCCTATAAAACAGGGGCAAAATGCTACAACATGAGGAAGAGAGCAGACAAAAGATGCATTTTGCATCTGGATTTCCATCCTGGTCTGACCACAGTGCCACTAGTAGACAGAAAACTCTCTGGAACTAACAAGGTTTTCTTCCTCCTAGGTTTATTAGTTCATCTGAAGGTCTTCTTTTAACAGGCATTCCTGCAGCTGAGATTGAAAGCCCTCCAAACATATACCCAAAGTGAAAAAGAGATATGACTTATAGTATTCAAATTTATGAGCTGTAAAGTACACTGTAACTCACACACCCCTAAGGATGCTGAAGAAAGCAGCAGTGGCTCAAAATAGCTAACACCAATATATTTTAAATGGTAGTTACTGTATCCTATTTACAGATGATGGTCCTGAATTTTCAACAAACCTTCCAAAAGATAGGGGGGAAATAGATAGATAGATAGATAGATAGATAGATAGATAGATAGATAGATAGATATAGAGATAGAGATATAGAGATATAGAGATATAATGTTTTTGTAAGTTTTCACGGGTACTTACATGTATGGTATTCAGCTTTGTTTGGGTATTTTCCCATGTCATTATAGTTGTGCTTTTAAAGTTGTAGCAACGTTTCAGCAGAATCTCATCTGCCATCATCAGGCTTCTGTACTGATACAGAATATACAATATATACAATATATACATATATACAATACAGAAGCCTGACGATGGCAGATGAGATTCTGCCGAAACGTTGCTACAACTTTAAAAGCACAACTACAATGACGTGGGAAAATACCCGAACAAAGCTGAATACCATATATATAATGCCTCTATTACCGTATGCTCAGCAAATCTGAAACAACTCTCTTATTTTTATAGATAATTTTAGTGGGGAGAAACCAGTCTGCATTTCAGGTGGATAAATGTAATAAAATCCATCAGCAGCTACATGTGACTCAGGCAATCACAGCACTCAGATGAACCTGGGAGTTGTGAGAAGGGAAAACTCTGATGGAAGGGGGCCACAGTTTTGTATGATCCGACAGGATTCCCCCTACAGTCCAGACAATCCCCAATAATGGAGAGATCAAAGTAATCTCCACATCTAAGAAAAGAGCTCAGAAACCTTTAGATGAAGCCTGGTATCTTTATCACATCTATGCAGAAGTCACCTTCCAGAATCACAGCCTAATAATCTCATTTTCTTTTTCACATTGATTTATGGATCCTGGAAAATGTAGGGCTGAAAGAATTTAGTAATACATCATCAGGCATTTAGACCTTAGCAGACAGATGAGGTGCAGTAACACTAAAAAAAAAGAAGAAGAAATGGAAGGTTTTATTTAGTCTCTCAGGACTGTCCCAGGTACACTTTCCACTCATTGGGGAATCTGGACTCTAGTCATTGCTTACAGGCCTGTAA